TCTCCTTAGTGCTCCTAGGATCACCCACTCCCTGCACTGAGTATGGCCTTTGTTCTTGTTCAATTGTGTGCCTTCAAGTCGTTTCTCACTTATGGCGACCCTATCACGGGCTTCTTGGCAGGTTTCTTCAGAAGGGATTTGCCATTGCTATTCTGTAAGGCTGAGAGAGTGTGACTTGCCCAAGGTCACCCAGTGGGTTTCCATGGACGAACCAGGATTCGAACCCTGGTCTCCAGAGTCTTAGTCCAACGCTCAAACCATGTCACCACGCTGGTTCTTTTATCGGGGGGTTTCTTGGTAAGTTTCTTCGGGGGGGGGGTTGCCATTGCCATCCTCTGAGGCTGAGAGAGTGTGACTTGGCCAGTGTGTTCACATGGCAGAGTCAGGATTCGAACTCTAGTCTCAAAAGTCATAATCCAACCCGCAAACCAGTACGTCACGCTGATTCCTCAGGTGACAGAGGCGCGGTCCGCTGTATTGCGTCATTGTCCCGCGCCACTGTGCTACGTCATTCCCGCGCGCCGGTGAGGGGGGAGGGGGAAGAGGAGGAGGGGCCCTTCTGTCGCAGAGCAAAGGGGCAAATCGGGAAGAGAGAGGCGGACGGTGGCCGCGCGAGGACATTCCGCGCAGGAAGCATAGCCGAGAGGTTTTCCTCCCTCGCTGTAAGTGGCTCTTCTCCGAGGGCTGGGCAGCAGCTCCAGCCAACGAAGGCGCCGTCACCGGAGCCTGAGAGAGGGAGGAGGGGACCCACTTCGGTACTGAGAACGGGTGCTTCTTGCTGCCTGCCTGCCTTCGAGTCGTTTCTGACTCATGGCCACTCTAGGTCACACTCTCTCAGCCTCAGAGGATGGCCGCGGCAAAAAACCCTCTGAAGAATTGTGCCAAGAAAACCCCAGGATAGGTTTCGCCATAAGTAAAGGAGAAATGACTTGGAGGCACCCAACAACAACAACCGTATTATGGGATTTTCTTGGCAAGGTTTGTCAAGGATCCCAACTCTATCCTACAGAGCTCAGAAAAGTTCCCTTTTTGAATTGTTCTTGTTGTGTGCCTTCGAGTCATTTCCGACTCATGGTGAGCCTAAGGCAAACATCTCATGGGGTTTTCTTGGCAGGGTTTGTTCAGAGGGGGCTTGCCCTTGCCTCCCCCTTAGGCTGAGAGAGTGTGACTTGCCCAAGGTCTCCCAGTGGGTTTCATGGCCAAGTGAGTTTCTTCAGAGGAGGTTTGCCTTTGCCTTCCCCTGAGGCTGAGAGTGTGTGACTCATCCAAGGTCTTCTAGTGGGTTTCTTCAGAGGGGGCTTGCCCTTGCCTTCCCCTGAGGCTGAGAGAATGTGACTTGCCCAATGTCTTCCATTGTGATTCGAACCCTGGTCCTAGTCCAACAATCAAACTGCTACTGGTGGCAGTGGTTAAATGCCTGTACTACAGCCACTCTCTCATAGACCACAAGGTTGCAAATTCAATACTAGCCAGGGCTGAGGCTCGACTCAGGCCTTCATCCTTCCAAGGTCGCTAAAATGAGTACCCAATTATTGGGGAGCAATGAGCTTACAGATGTAAACCGCTTAGACATCCCATAGTGCGATATGAAGCGGTATATAAATGAAGCTGCTTGCTTTGCTTGTTTGACTCTTCGCGTGTGTGAATCTCTTTCTTTTTCTCGTTCACACACACAAAACCACACTGCTTTGTGACACCTTAAGACAGGGGTAGGCAACCTTTTTGAGCCGGGGGCCAGGTTGCTGTCCCTCAGACAATTGGGGGGCCAAAGCAAAAAATAAAAATAAAAATAAAATAAAAAATATGCATGCACACTCTCTCAGCCCCAGAAAAGCCATGGCAAAACCCCTGTGGAGATTTTGCCAAGAAAACCCCAAGAACAAGTAATAACAACAATAATCAATATCATCATGGTGGGGGGGGGGCGGTGGTGGTGGTAGGACCAGCCTGGGGCCAGTCCAAAGGCCTTGGGGGGCCGCATCCGGACCCCCCAAAGCCTTAGGTTGCCTACCCCTGCCTTAAGCAAAGGATAGTCATGGGCACCTCTGCTTAGAAACCAGGTCCACCGAGAGAAATGGGGCTTTTTCTTTCCCCCTTTAAGCAAGTGGCATGGCAGCATTTCTCCTTCATAACCCTGCTTGTCATTACTCGGTGTGTGGGCTGTGTTAGTTGTAAATCTGAAGCCCAAGATGTCCTCCCCTCAGGCTTTTAGTGCTATTTGCGTGTGTGCCTAGAATTGCAGGAGCATTTACCAGCTCCAAGGGGAGCAAAGGTTGTGTGGCTCAGACTGCATCTACACTGCAGAAATAATCCGCTTTGGTTCCACTTGAACTGCCATGGCTCCTTGCTGTGAGATTCTGGGAAATGTAGTTTGTGACACCTGAGCTCTCTGACAGAGAAGGCTAAATGTCTCAGTCTACAAAACTACAGTTCCCAGGATTCCCTAGCATTGAGCCAGGGCAGTTAAAAGTGGGCTCAAACCTGCTTGGCAAAGGGTTGGACTTCATGGCACCTGTGGTCTCTTCCAACTCTGTGATCCAAAACACACTGCAGAAACAATCCAGTTTGACACTGATTTAACTGCCCTGGCTCAATGCTAGGGAATCGTGAGAACTGTAGTTTTGTGAGACATTTAGTCTTCTTTTTCAGAGAGCTCTGGTGCCAGAACCAACTACAGTTCCCAGAATTCCATAGCATGGAGCTATGGCAGTTCAGGTGGAGTCAAACCGGATTATTCTGGTGCCACAACAAAGTTCACTTCCCAGAATTCCATAGCAGTGAGTTGTGGCAGTTCAAGTGGAGTCAGACCAGATTATTTCTGCAGTGTGGATGCAGCCTCAGTGCTGTGGCTGGCACCATTTCCCTGCTATCTCTGAGCGAGGCTTGCTGCCGGGTGGCCTCTCTTCTCTGCCTCTCAACATCTGTGGTGTAAGAAATGCAGTGTCATTGCCAGTCAGGGACTTGTCCTAGTTATCACATTGCCTCTAACTGGTGTGGACAAGAGTTTCAAGTCCCCCTTCAAGCCTGCTTGGTAGTTTTTGGACAGAGTGACCAGACATCCTTTCCCAGGACACATCCTGCATTTCAACCTTTTGTCCAGGAGGAATTCCAAAATGTCCTCTGCTTTGAGCATAACTAAGAAGCATGAATTTACATTCCTATAAGTGTTTTTAGCTTTGTATTTTGTAATGTCCTACATTTTGAAGTGTCCCTGTCCTTCTTTGCAGTGATGACGTCTGGTCACTCTCCCTTTGGACCATTAAGGCTCTGGTTCATCCTGCCTCCAAAACAGTCACATACACACACTGGGAAGCAACAGTGGTGCTTTGTCTCACAGAGATGTGTTGAGGGTGAACAATATGAGGAGTGACTTGGGAGCTGGGCAGTGGTACCATTAGGATGTGTGGGAGGTGTAGTCCCCACCAGGTGACACTCAAGAAGAGGGGTGACACCCAGTCGGGTCTCCCCCCGAACCTGGTTGCTGTGGCCTCATGAATTGAGCAAAGCCGCAGCAATGAGGAAGACCAAGCATGCCCCCCTGCACTTGGTTGCTTCTGCTGATCCATCTCCAGGATCCCTGCCCCAGGTGACACCAAGGCACTGTAACTGGGTATGTTTAGCCAGAAGAAGAAAGTTAAGAGGTGATGATAGCCCTGTTTAAATATCTGAAGGGGAGTCATATTGAGGATGGAGCAATCTTGTTTTCTGCTGCTCCAAAGACTAAAACATGGAGCAGTGAATTCAAACTACAATTGCTCCTCCAAAACCATGGACTTGGGATCCGTGGTTTTGATTATTCATGGAAGGGCGACCTCCATTTTAATGAATGGGGAGAGCACCCCATTGAAGCCTATGGAACTTGAATATGTGTAGTTTTCTTTTTTGCGGGTGGTGGTCCAGAATGGATCCCCCATGAAAAAGGAGGGGCGACTGTACAGGAAAAGAGATTCCATCTCAACATTAAGAAGAACTTCCTGACAGTAAGAGCTGTTTGACAGTGGAATATGCTGCACTGGAGAGCGGTGGAGTTTCCTTTTTCGGAGGTTTTTAAGCAGAGGCTGGATGGCCATCTGTTGGGGTGCTTTGATTGTGGGGTTGGACTGGATGGCCCTTGGGATCTCTTCCAACTCTACAATTCTAATAATAAAGAGGAAGGGATGTATTTTCATGTATGTGGGTCATGTGCTACTAATCTTTAGTGTTCAAAGACATTGCTGTATTAGTCTGGAAAATCAGTATGCAGAGGGATCTTTCAGTACCTCTGAGACTAAGGGCCTTTGCAGACTGCCAGAAATAGTGCAAATTGAGTCCAATTTAAGGGTTAGGGTTAGGGAATCATGGGAACTGTATTTTATTGTGGCACCAGAGCTCTCTGACAGAGAAGGCTTAATGTCTCAGAAAAAAACAATTCCCATGACTCCCTAGCACTAACCCTAACCCTTAAAGAGGACTCCATTTGCATTATTTCTGGCAGTCTGCAAAGGCCCTGACTGAAAGAGAGAAGCTGATAGCATGATTTTTCATAGACTTGAGTCTGTTTCTTCAGATGCATGTGGTGGAGTGGAAAGATTTGTATAGCAGTCTGTGTGTGAGAATGTCCATAGGAATGCCAAACTTTCTGGGTGTGGAGATGAGGTGATAAGTTCAGTTTTAATGATGTTCATTGGGGAACAAGGTAAGGATGTTGCCTAAGCCAAGGTTAGTAGATAACCATATGAATGAGTATTGGGATATAGTGTGGGAGCAAAGAAAGAAGATGAGATGAACTGGCCAAGAGTGTTATAATGTGTGTAGCAGGCTAGGAACATCCTCAAAGGTGCTCCAAAATCCCTTTACATACTGATAAGCTTTAGTGTGTGTATGTGTTATTGTTGTATACCTTCAAGTTCTTTTCGACTTACGGAACTCTAAGGCAAACTTATTATGGGGTTTTCGTGGCAATATTTGTTCAGACGAGGTTTGCCATTGCCTTATCCTGAGACTGAGAGCAGTGGGTTTCATGGCCAAGCAGAGAATCAAACCCTGGGTCTCTAAAGTCATGGTCCAGCACTCAAACCACTATGCTACACTGTCTATCACAGCAAAAGAAATCTAAATTTTGAAATTTAGCCTAGACGGATTATATGCGTGCAACTCTTTCAGATTGCTTCTAACATTGTGGCATAGGCATTCTGCTTTGGTAAGGCAATGTCAGTGAAGTTGTCTGGCTTATTCCATTCCATTCCATAACCTTTATTAGGCATCTCATAATCAATATACAACGAACAATACTATATAAAATTTAACTAAGATAATTAACATGAATACGTTAAAATTACCGTCATTAAAATCATCTAACACTGCACTCTAACCACTATTTAATTTGTGCCAGATTTTTGTTGCCTCCATTAGAAAATTGGCCATCAAACATGTAATCTGTACATTACAATCCTCCAATAAATGTACTAAAGTTATATCAGTTAAGCAGTAATTCAATTCCGTTAATTTTGTCTGGCTTATTGATACCTTGCTTGTCACCCAAGGATTTTAGAACAGCCATGTAGCTCTGACAAGATATTACTTGACCCAAACATGCATAGCTTACTTATGTACTGGAACCTCATTATGTACCTTCTGAACATTCAGTGGGCTGAAATCTCATATTTTTAAATCATATTTTGTGTTGATGACAGTCAGTAGAATTTTTCAAAGTGAAATCAATTTTTCTGAAGGTGAGCAAGTTATCCAGTGTCAAAAATCAGAATTTTCCCACTACTTTGCTTAGGTTTGCCTATTTTTAGAAGCAATGGTGTCTAGCTCCAGCAATGAGAACTGAACGTTATGTTGCTCAGCATTGTTTTCAAAAATACTTACACAGAGAGTTGTCATTATTTTAATCTTACAGACCTAAAGTACATTTTTAAGGTTTATTTGGGGTAAATATTGTAGGACTATTTTTGATATTCTTTTGTATTGGTGATAATGGGTGATACTTCTCTAGAGTGAAATTTTATTCTAATACAAGTGAGCAAAAACTTGCTTTGTTGTTGTGTGCCTTCAACTTCTTTGGGACTTATGGTGACCCTAAGATGACCCTTGAAAAGATTTGTTCAGAGTGGGTTTGCCATTGCCATCCTCAGAGGCTGAGAGAGTGTCTAGGGTTACATGGTCAAGAAATTGCTATTGGGAGTCAAATAAACCAGGATTGTATGCTACTTGGAAAGAGCACCATGGTTCCTAGCTTACAATATTTTTAGAAGCAATTTTCTGGGTATCCCATGAAGCAAATGAATGTTGTGTTATCAAGCATTTTCTTTTAAAAACCCAAAGTTGTAAATGTTTTAGGCTTACTGGGGTTGCTTAAAGTTTGTTATGGTTCAGCTGTTTCTTCTTCATATACCATCCTGTTCCCTAAACGAATAGACAAAGGATATGAGAGCAGTTTGTTTTTTCCATCTAGTGAAGCTTTATATTGAGTCAGTATACTGCCCTATTTAAATTTATAAGAACTGAGCAGAACTGTTGATGACCAGGGTTCATGGAGGTTTATCATTCATAGGGGCATCATAAGTCAAAACCAACTTAACAGCAAATAATAAAAACTGCAACTGGACAACTGTGTGAATTAAGTTTGCATGGTGATTTTATGTTGCTTTACATTCTTTTATTGATATGTATGCAGTCTGCACTGAGATCAAACAACAAAGGGATAGCTATTATATAATAAGTAAATAAATAAATGTGGTCTGTTTGATTTGTTTCAGATGCATCATGTCCAAAATGGGAGCCTTACGTGTGGGACTTGGTGTGGTCTTGGGAGCAGCTGCAGGAATAGGTCTCTTCTACTACTTCTACAAACAAAAGAGGAAAAAACCCTGGAATAAAGGGAAACGCAGACCTCTAGATTTACAGAGTCAGCACAATGCCCTGGACCCTCAGGAACATACTGAAATTATGCAACCTTATAATCAGGGTAGGATGGTCATTGTCATGTTTTATTTTGTATATCTATTTGTTCTAAAACTAGCTATCCAGACTGGGAAAATGTGTGTGATACATTTTTTCTACACTGAGCTTGGAAATCACACACCAGTGTCCTTTTGCATTATGCACAATTTTATATTTTTAAAAAATAAATGTGACAGTTCTTTGTATTTATTTATTTATTTATTTATTTATTTATTTATTTATTGGAGTGAGGAGTTTACTACTTCAATTACAATTCTATTGCTAACTTTACCAAACAAGTATATATTAAAAGATTCTGATTCTTGGCTGCTTAACAGTTGCCTACAGCTTCCTTTCCACAACACTTTTCACATAATAAGTTGAATGCATAGAATAAAAGAAACAGGCTTTCACACAGCAGCATGACTTCCAAATGCTATGTGTTCTGTTTAATACTACAGAGCAGATTTGAGGTAAATATGGTAAGCTGCAAAGACAAGTTTGTTTCTCCATTGGTATTGGTTCTGTTAGTAGATTTGCACAGTTGGATTTCATCCCATGTGTTCAGTTTAGCTCTATGCATGTCCACGATATTTTCTGTATGCTTGAGAACCTGGACAACATTTTTATATGAGCGTGTTAAACTGAATGCATGGAAGACCTCTTATCATTTACTCCCTCCCCCAATACTGGTTGTTATTATTATTAATATAAATATGTTGTAGTTTTATGGAAAGTATCTGTATGGGGATATTTTTATTAAAGCAGATACACTTCTAAGTTATTCATTCAGATACAATACAGTGTGTTTGTGTGCCTCTGTGTATGAGAGGGAGGCCTTTCTGGCTGTTTTATTGTGTGTTCACTGATTTATATTACATACTTGGGTTGTGGTGCCTTGTTGCATAATATGATGATTGGTGAGTATTGTAGGATTCTTTTGAGATTTCTAGGAGTATCAGTCTTGCTACACACATTTACACTCCTGCATCTATTGTGGATGTGTCTCTGGTGCTTTGGTATTCATACATTTGCAGTCATGTTATGCTAGTGTTAGACTGGTTAAGCAGATGCAGATACAACAGGACCATGGGTTAAGTTTATAAGGTGCTCACTGAAAGCTGTGTTTCTCTGAAAATATACTTTTAATTATGTAACACAACTACATCAGTTGCAGTTGCACTTAATATGTGTGCACGTGGATGGAAGAGGAGAAATATTCTGATACCAATAAACAGGGCCATTCAAGTTCCTTCTATATGACTTATTAAGAAATCAGTGACTTTTAAAAAGCTCATCCCTGGTCTAAAATTCCTAAGAATTAAGCAGCAAATCATATATTGTACAGTGATGGTGAAATAGTCTTATTGTAGCTACTTTCTTATCTCACTTTAGTTCCATTGATGAGAACAGGACCAGTGGAGGGTGGTGATAATATACCATATACATCTCTTCTAACACGTGAAGAACAAGCTGAAGTGCTGAATCGTTTGGACTTCCTGCTTAGAAGCCTTATAGAGCTGCGAAATGAAGTGGAAGAGCTACGGAATAGCCTGCAGGGTTTATCAGGAGAGATTATTAGAGAAGTCAGGTTGGTGTAAACTATTCTCAGTGACAATACAGGTTGCTGAAGATCTTTCATCCAGAGACAGACTGAACCAGATTTTGAGTGCAATGGATATTTGCCTTTCTATTGACTATAGAGGGTAATTCTTCCAGAGTAAATTCACTGAAGTGCTACTCAAATAGATAATTCTCTCTTGACCTTCTATAGCTCCCCAGGGGAGCCACTGTGAATCTCCTAACCCCAAATAAATACCAGTCCATATGAGGACAAGGCATGGTGAAACTCAGAGTCGCACACTCTTGAGGACAGAGAAATAATTATGGAAACTTTAACAGTTACTGTAGTTTGCTAAATGTGAACATTGTGACAAACATATGGCTGCACACCCATCAATATGCAACCTTATATTGGAAAGGTTTTAAAGTATTTTGAGCTGATTCTAGTGGTATAATATTGTGTGGCTCTACTGTTGTTCATAACTGAATTATACTGCTGCTTATCTGGTGCAGTAGGAAGGGCTGACAGACTTTGTACATTTCTGAATTGAATCTTCCTACTACTTTACAGATTACTTTTATATCTGCAAAGTAGCAGGAAGGGGCATTCCAGTGTCACAGGAATAATATTGAAGCTTTGGAGATGCTGAACTCCAAAAAGCTATGAAGATGCTAAACGCACTTGTCCTTACAAAGATACTTATTTTGTTGCACACTCTTCCTTTTTCTTTAGCTATTCATAAGGCAAACAGTTTGTCTTTACTGTATTAAGCAATGTTTTACATGAGAATCCATTGACTCATCTCTAATAACAATATACTTTGTCAATATCAAGAATTACTGACAAAGAATTGTCAGTAATTGTAAGAATTACAAGAATTACTGAGTAGTGGAGTCTCCTTCCTTGGAGGTCTTTAAGCAGAGGCTGGATGGCCATCTATCGGGGATGCTTTGATTGGGAGTTCCTGCATGGCAGGGGTTTGGACTGGATGGCCCTTGCGGTCTCTTCCAACTCTATGATTCTATGATTCTACCACAGCAGGAGAACACTGATATGAAGCAGATTATAGTATAGATTAGAATTAAATATAAAGTTTAAAAATAGAAAACTTCATATTGTAGAAGGAGCAAATTCTCAAATTAATGCACTGAAATGCTGTTTGAATAGAACTTTTGAAAGATCAGTGTTAAAGTTAATAGCTTCAAAAGAAAGTGAGCAGTAGGAGACAACAGTACTTAGGCTGCAATGTCATTTCATTTATTTATTCAATTTATACCCTGCTGCTCCCCATAAAACCCTAGAGCAGCTAACACAGGTCCAAAACACACTGCAGAAATAAGCCAGTTTGAGGCTGCTTTAACTGCCTTGGCTTAATGCTAGAGAATTCTGGGATCTGTAGTTTTGTGAAACATTTAGCCTTCTCTGTCAAAGAGCTCTGGTACCACAATAAACTACAATTCCTTAGCACTGAGCCAGGGCAGTGAAAGTGTCTCAAACTGGATTATTTCTGCAGTGTGTTTTGGACCACAGTTAAAAGTCACAAATTACAAATATTATTTTTAGCATTCCTTCTCGATTATAG